AGGAAGATTCAACAGGGACAACCAGCTGCAGTTTCATTGTTTCACTCATTGTTACACGAAGTCTTATCTAGTTAAAGTGTGCAGGCTTCAGTTTTAGATGAATGCCTGCTCTTTCTGTGCACAGGACAAAAAAAAAAAAAAGGAACAATCATATACATGTGTTGTTATTTTTCTTTACTTTATTTATGACACTTTTGGATGCTTTTATCCTCCAAAGCTTAAACTTTGCTCTGTTTTTTTTTGTCTTCAGATCAGAGAGAGGCAGATATCCAGTGATGGACGGGTATGTGTTCATATTCACTAAACTGATACTAAACTGCAGACAGTACCATTATTCTTCTCTATATAACACTGTTGTTATTAGCACAACTGAACACTCAGGTAGAAACTGTTAGTTAACTAATCAGTCGGCAGCTAGTTTGATAATAAAGTAATTTTTCATGCAGAAAATGTCAGAAAATGCTGTATTAGGCCTCTTAATATGGAGATTTCCTACTTTTATCTTATTTATAATCATGAATATGTATTTCCTTTTGGATTTCGGACTGACAAAAGAAGACATTTAAAGACACCACCTTGGACTTTTACACACTGGGGACATTTTTCCCCATTTTCCATCGTTCTATAGACCAACCGATTCATCTAGAAAATAATGGATAATGAAATGAATGTCCTACTAGTGTCCCTGACTGAGCTGTTGGCCACAGGTTTACGGGGGACATGCTGAGCGGCGGCCGGGCTCTGCTCGGTGAGGACAGCTCGGTGATGGCTCGCATGCAGAAGAAGTTCTGGAAGACCAAGCAGGTCCTCATCAAAGCCACGGGCAAGAAGGAGGACGAGTACGTGGTGGCCTCAGACGCCGACCTGGACGCCAAGCTGGAGGTAGGAGAGGAGACATGAAATCCTGTTTTTGGCGTTCGGCAGGAGTTGCAACAACACAAGCTGTGTTTCCATGTCACGTCCTGCCACGCTATTCTTGCGTACCGACCTTTGTGGGAGATCGCCAGTCAGGGTTCATTCAGAAAGAGACTAATGGCCTCAGGTAACTGTAGCCTGGAGCAAACCAAATCAGTATGTAAAAACATGTAAAAGAGTCACAGTGAGCATGCTAATTGGTAAGTCGAGAATGCAGGTAATTGGTTAGGTAGTTACGGTGGTGTGGGTGTACGTGGACCGAGTTCAGTAGTGAAAGTAGTGCTCAGATCCATTACTTAACTAAAAATACCAGTACAGCTATGTAAAAACTGGTTATGAAGCAGTCTTCATTTAATATTGATGTGTATTTATTCAGGTCATACAGAGACCATCAGCAATAAGATTGGCTATTTTCATATAGTTTTTGTTTATACCTTCCACCGGGTTTGATTCCCGACAGTTGGGACTGGCTGAAACCTGGCTGGCATTTAGTTGTGACAGGCTGGCGGACGGTGCGGTCCTGTGAGACGGGGCCGTGGTAGAGTTTCATTGAGCTGTTAGAAAGAGAGAGAGAGAGAGAGACAGACACTGTGAGGCTTTTGTTTGCTCTGGAACAAGATCAGGCTTCTTCTGTCCTCCTGCTCTCATTGTCCCTCCATTCAACCCCGGTGAGACGAAGTCAGAAAGGAAGGGGAAAGTGTTGATGGGCGAAAAAGAGAGTACATTCAGAGCAGATTTCTGAGAGCAGGTCTGTTTGTGTTGCTTTCCTCCATCTCCTTCACACATTTCATCTCGACTTTGAGCTCCCTGTTGAGCAGCAGAGCATTAAAGCCACTGGGGCAGATTCGATTTGGAGCCGCTTCTGGACGGCAGCCTTACAGCTAACCTGATTTTATCGGGGGTTTTAATCGCGGAATTGCCTCGGAGCGTTCTCAAATTTCATCTCGGCCGCTTTTGCTTTGTGCGTGATATGAGCTGAGTGAAACCTCACAACAGCTTTTAGTCCATTCGGGTTAAACATGTTTGATAGCTGACATTTTTGTATCGTTTTTCAAGCGTCAGAACAACATTTCATCCAGTTGAAAGTGAATGCATGTTGAATCATATTTTCTTTTGTCTATGCTGCACAAATACAGGCGTGGATGTTTATCTCCATCTACCTCTGTCCATCCCCTGCCGTATTACTGTGACTCAGACGGAGCAGTTGCCATTAAATAAAGACGGTCTTGAAGAATCGATCAGCTTCGCTCAATAAACAGATCTCCGGCTGCGTGCAGGTCCGCTCCTCTTTTACTGACGCCGACCGGTGTTTGACCACAGCCGAGGCTCAGCGACTGAAGGTGGTGACTGTTTATTCTACAGTTAATCAGTAACACGTTCAAGTCACCTCCTCCCTGTGCTCTATTACAGCCTCAGTTTTAAACCCGTTTTTAAAATCAGGTGCTCTCTTTAACGCACATCTCTCACAAAAACAAAAGACGTAGATAAAAACCACCCACCACATTCTTGTTTTTCTTGTTTAACTGAAAAATAACAGAATACATTTATAGAAGAGATAAAAAAAAGATGTACAATATTAAAAGCTTTACTGAACAACATTTGATTTTTTATTTTGTTTTCATTCATCATGTAGCTTAACACAGGGTCACTGGTATAATGACATGGTCAGCTCAGCTATATAAAGACACAATAAGATCAATTAGATTAAACAAAAATAAAATATAACTATAGTTTTTACAGGTATCACAATAAAGTATGTACAATAGACTTAAATATGCTATAAACTTTAGTAACAGATGTGAAATAGAGCAAAGAAGGACGTGTTGCTCGTAGGAGAAGGCTCGTTGGAAGAAGAACATCTTCACCTTCCCTTCCCATCAGACGGCAGCGCCGGAGTGGCCTCGAAATCTGTGTTGCTATGACGCGCTCTCCTCCTTTAGTCCCTGTTGTTGTCTAGCAGACGGGAGGAGAGGTGGCCGACTGCCAGACAGAAAGCAAGACAGAGGAGAATACGCCTTGTGTACTGACTGAGAGGTTACAGACCTCACACTGTGTAACTTATTTTTCAAGACTATATTTTCCAAAGTGGCAGAAAATCTTTAAAAAAAGAAGTAGAACTATTTTGTGTGTCAGGTATTCTGATCGGACCGGTTTTGTCTCTGCAGTTTTTCCGCTCGGTTCAGTCCACGTGCACGGAGCTGCTGAAGGTGATCGAGAAGTACCAGCACAGGATCACACGTGAGTGACGCAGTCCAAACTAGACCCACTGCATGATATCTCCTCACTGACGAACTGCTAAATAATTCTCCCAAACTCAATCACAGCACACGGTTAGTTGTGTGTTCATTAGTTGTATTTTCTCACTTCCTAATTCAAACATCACTTTAAATTAGTGTCAGTGGTCACGATTATGGACTTAAAGATGCAATTAAAAGAAAAACAATAAAGACATTTAAGAAACATGTCATTTCCAATTCCTCCTCTTTTGGGAAACACTTCTTCAGCTTCAGATGGTTCGTAAAAGGGATTTAACCACAGCCAAAAAAATGTGGGTGCAAAACCTCAGTCTGCAGGTCTCATTTAGTCTTTGGTGTGTATGCTGTGCTTTCCCCAGGCTTGTCTCAGGAAGAGAACGAGCTCGGCCTGTTCCTGCGCTTCCAGGCCGAACACGATCGCACGAAGGCTGGCAACATGATGGACGCCACCAGCAAGGCCCTGTGCACCTCCGCCAAGCAGAGGTCAGCAGCAGCAAATGAAAACGCCAATGACTAGAAGCAACGGATATACAGTGTATTCTGAACAATCTGGATACTGATTTCATTCTCTAACATCCTCACACTGCATCTTTCCTGCTTTTTTTTTTTTTTCAAAGGATGGCTCTTTGCCCGCCACTGCACCGCTTGCACCAGGAAGTGGAGACGTTCAGGCGGCGTGCCATCGCCGACACGCTGCTGACAGTCAGCCGTATGGAGAAGGCCCGCACCGAGTACAGAGGAGCTCTGCTCTGGATGAAAGACGTCTCCCAAGAACTGGACCCAGACACCTACAAACAGCTGGAAAAGTTCCGCAAGGTGGGAGGACCTGCTGGTTTGGGTGAATCGGGGCGCGGGGTCGAAACTCCTTTTATGATCTAAACGGTTGCATTGCCCCTCTGTCGTCAGGTCCAAGCCCAGGTCAGAGGGACGAAGGGCCAGTTTGAGAAGCTGAAGAATGACGTGTGTCAGAAGGTTGACATGCTGGGAGCAAGCCGCTGCAACATGCTCTCACACTCCCTCTGTACCTACCAGGTATGTCTCTGTTAGCTTATGTTTCAGTCACATTAAGATAATCCCAAGCTTTCAGAGGGCGTCATCAGCTCTTCTATTCACCACTCATGTTTCTGGAATAAGCCTGTTGATCCGTCTACCTGCTCATTTGTCTCATTTCTTCAACATGTCTTTTCCTGTCATGTCAGACCACTCTGCTGCAGTTCTGGGAGAAGACGGCCCACGCCATGTCGGGGATCCACGAGGCCTTCCAGGGACACGTACCATACCAGTTCACCACACTCAAAGTACTAGAAACGACACAGTACGAATGCCCAATTGTGACTGCAGTGGTCTGTGTCTTTATACTCCGTTTATCTCTTTTTCTCCCCTCCTACAGGACCTGCGCGACCCACTGGAGGAAATAACGGACTTACAGAAACAACAGGATAAGAAGGAGAAAGCTCTACAGAGCAACACAGACAAGTGAGAGAACACGCTAAACACTCTTCTGTACCGTTAATAAAGCAAATGTAGTGTGATGTTTGTCCATTCCTAACACACACACACAGGTCGTGCCATCCCATCTGTCTCTGTTTTCACGCAACTGCTCTTCTCTGTCCTCTGTTGTGATTAACACACACACACACACACACACACACACCCGGCCGTCTGCTCTGCCCTTTGTCTGTTTTTCTGCACACTGCCACCTCAGCTATGTCTTCATCAAACACGAGGCCAACGTAAAGCCCGTGTTTTCTTACGAGTAAGTGTGTGTGTGTGGCAGGTTTTAGATGTGACGATCAGTAATGATCCAGGTGGTAGTTGAGGGCTTTAGAATAGCCCCCCCCCCCCCGGAGACTGCAGCTCCAAATCAAATAGAGGCTAC